CAAACAGTCAGTGAAATCAAACCCCCCGGCCCAGCCGACAGCACGACGGAATTCACAGCAAATGGCGAACACAGCACCGACTTGCGTGTCTGCATCATATACCATGGATTATGATATGATAGGCGGCTTTAGTCGTGCAGGATATGAAATCATTTGTGACCTGCCGTTCAGTGTCTCAGCGTTGGGTTACCTAGCCTTCCTGTTATGCGTGCATAACTATTTCATATTCTAGTCAAATGCATTCCGTTCCAAGTTTTATTTCTATCTTTGCAAGAAATAAAAAACATGTGGAAAACAAAACAAAAAACGGCGAAATTCAAATCAGGACTGGCCTCTGTTAAACCGTTAAACATAGGATGTTAACTTTTGACTGCACGGAGATGCTCTACGAAATGGTGGGAACAGTTGCGGCCAAATGTTGTCGAGGAGACGGACCGACCATCAGGTTATGCATGCGCTTGTAGTTAAACTCTCCTTAGCAAGGGACCTGCGCTCTGCCATTTCATTCGTCTGGAAACGTCGATCGAAGAAAAAAAACATTGCACTGCGCATATTTCACCGTATAAGCCATTGTGCAAGAATGACTTAGAGGTGAGAAGTGGACTCCACGTCGGAAGTGAAGTCCACTTCGGAAAGTACTCGTCGTCCCAACAGGCTGTGTAACTGTGTTTATTCAACGCTATCTAAAAACTGACGGAGAGTTTATGCGCTGACCAGCGTCTGTAGCGCCGCAACTGCCAGCGTAGGGTTCTCTTGCGGGGGAGGGAGGGGATGGAGGGGCGGAGGGTCACTCGCTCCGACTGGGACCGTCCACGGTGGAAAACCCTCCCCTCCCCTCCGTTTCCCGCCACATCCCGGCTAGTGAGGTGACTCGGACACCTATATATGCCGCCGCAGGCCTGTCAAAGGTCACATATCACTCACAGCGCCCTGTCGGTCACAGCCACAGCGTTCAGCTGCGCACTGTAACACCTTCTCCAAGTACAGAACACAGTCAGAGGTGAGTTCGATGCATCGCGCATCGCGCTTTCAGTTTTCTTATTACAACATTTCATACTGTATAGAGATTCACATTGAGTTCATTCCCATGATTGAGTCAATTATCAAATACCTCGTTTCGCTTTCCTAAAACAACGGGTAATTCTGTACCAGTAATCTGCCATCGAGCACAATATGCTTTTATTATTTTGTCCGACACCCCCAATCTGAGAAGTCATCTACTGATGCCAGCCGTGTGTCCCTCCCATCACACAGCAGTCAGCACCACGACCTCCCTCCCTCTCGTCACCACGTGCTAACCACTGACGGTAGGTACCGCCTCTCTCCGCAGCCATGTCCCGTCGCGGCGTGCTGGTGCTGGTTCTTCTGGCGGCCGTGGCCGTCACCTGGGCCAGTCCGCAGTGGAGGAGCCACAGCCGCTTCCAGTCATCTCGTCCCAACTATGGCCGGGCGGCGGTCAACGCAGCCACACAGGCGGCCGGCAGCCGGTACGGCCTGGGCGGCAGCTGGAGTCCCAAGGCGGGAGGCGTGCGCGTCTGGCAGTCCCGCAACGGCCGCGCCGGCCTCGGCCTGGGCATCAGCAGCGACGGCAGGCGCAACCACGGCGTCGGCCTCGGCTTCAAGCTCAAGTTCTGAGCGGCCACCAGTCGCCAGTCAGGGACCTGCAGACATAAGGGCTCAGGGAGGGAGAGGTAAACGTGCATCAACCGTGCGCTCTTGTAAGAAATCGACGATGCACGCTTCGGATGTGATGTGTTTTGCATTATATTGTTACCACAATCATATGTGATGTAGGCAAGCTGACGACAATATACATACTACAACAGTGCATTGTTGTTCTATGCAGCCACTTCGGTATATCAGATGCCAGCGACTAAATCACCACCTTCTACATACACCTAATAGATTGTAAGTATCGTGTCTCGAAAGTATCGCTATTGCTCCTTGGTATGAAAACCCTGACTTCTGAGGGCTGGCCGCCTGGCCGTCACGTACCGTTTTCAAGGTACTTACGTATCACGGGTATCACGGGCCGGCCAGGCGGCCCTTAACCCGCGCCCCACTGGGGGGGGGGCTATTTATAGCCCCCCCTCCTGTTTTTCTGCAATAACTTCCAAACAGATTGACGGATCGACGCCAAACTTTCAGTACCTTCGGCTGCATCAATTTGACACCTTGTGTCAAAATTTGAACTTCGAAGCTACCATAGGTCGGCCGGAAATGACGTCAGAGTGACGTCATGTTCGGCCGATTTCGACGCAAAACATTGAACCACGGCAATCGCTCCCAAGAGCTCAGTTTTTAAGCTAGATCCAATTTCTTTGCATGAAAGAACTCAAAATTGACCGCGCTATCAAACTGCTATCTCGGATTTTCAAAATTTTGAAAATTCTGAAAATTTTATATAATAATATTCAAAATTTATATTTCTATATTTTTCTCAAAAAGTTTTTGACTTTTCGAAAAAACCGGAATATATGTGACAGAACGCATGATTATGACTAACTCTAGCAAGTTTTAGCTAAATATCTTCAAAAATTGCCATGTTATACGCATTATTGCAAAAAATTCACAATTATTAATTTTTCAAATCAATTTTTCAGTACGTATTTGACATCGTACACCAATATAAATGGCACCATCGTGTTCCTGAGCTCAAACTGCATCCAATAGACACCTTTTTTGTTGAAAAATTTTAACTTCAAAATTTGACCTTTTTTGACCTGAAAGTGACCTGACCTAAGCTAAATCGACTCAAAATGACCTCGAATGACACAGACGACATCAAATTCGAAATCTATGGCCTAAATGGACCATAAAACATGTGTCACGTGACCGACGCATGGTATAATATTTTCGTGACCTGTGATGACCTGACCCTGACCTGAAAATCAAAGTACAAGTTTGGTACCCTCAAGGTATCTAGAGAATCTGTTCACGAGTGTGGAAACCAAAAATGAGCCTGATCTGACTTGTAAGACGGCGGCCAGAGCCCAAAATGTGAACAAGCCAAAATGCTAATAATTTTTACTTTGACCTGACCTGTGACGTCATCTATGACCTCGAGGTCAATGAAATTAGGTTTCGCTCGACAGTTTTTCCGGGGCTATCAGACGCCGTTTGAATTTTGACGATCGGCCCAGTAGTTTCGGAGTTAGGAGGGGGGGCTATGAATAGCCCCCCCCCCAGTAGGGCGTGTTATACACAGACCCCAGTGGGGCGCGGGTTAACCCGCGCCCTGATGGGGAAGGCATTATCCCCCCTGTGTTTTTCTTAAATAACGAGAAAACGGCGGCGCGCAGTGCCCCCAAATTTTTGGTACCTTCCCGGGCATCAATTTTAGACCTTAACACAAAATTTCAAGTCACAGGTCACCTTGGGTCAGGAGTTATTGAGGTCAACTGAGGTCATGTTCGAGTCAAAATGGGCAGAAAACATGACATCTTGAAACGCTCACCAAATCTACAATTAACAAGCAATTTAAAAGTTCTTTATGTGGTTGTGTAGAGAAAAGACGGCGCTACAAACCTTGATCTCAGATTTTCAAAATTGAGGGATTTTCACCCCGAAAAATAAAAAATGATTTTTTTAAAAAGAAAAACTCAAACAATTTCCTTTTTTCGAATTTCGTAAAAACCAGAATATATGTGATAGTCCTTGGGCTCTTCGATATACATACCAAATGTTAGATCCATATCTTGTTTTTTGGCCGAGTTATAGCGAAAAAACGGCTCAAAATTGATGACGTCAAATTTTTGAACTCAATTTTTAGCAATTCTAGAGCACGTAGCGCAAAAAATAGACCACCATTGAACTCCCCGTGACGAGCTGCATCGAATCCATACCCATTTTATGCAAAAATATCAACTTTGAAATTTGACCTAATTTGACCTCACCTTGACCTGACCTTGACCTGACCTTCACCAAAACATAATCTCAACTGACCCCAAGGGCTGCCTGTCCCACATAATCGCATTTGGCATATAAAATGGACCATAAAACATGCATCACATGATATTGTTAATTTTTGACCCTCAGTGACCTGACTTCTGTGACCTAACCTGGTATCAGTGACCTCAAATAGCAAAATATGTGCTTGATTAAAATTTCCCCATCGATGATTTTCAATGAAATGCATTTTACTCGATTTTACAACGCATTTCTTGAAATGCCTGTAAACGGTGAAAATTCTACATTTGACCTGACCTGTGACGTCATCGGTTAGACCGAGGTCAATGAAATTGGGTCACAAGGTAGTTCCCTGTTGGGGCTATCCAACACCGTTTGCCGCTTGTCGCTATGTTGCGTGGTTCTCGATATCTTAGGGGGGGGGCAAAATGACCCCCCCCCCCATCAGACCGCGTTGCTCGGCAGACCCTATCAGGGCGCGGGTTAAAAGTCTGGGGCTCTCAAACCGGGGAGCGATAGCGATACTTTCGATACGCGATTCTTTCAAGAGGGAGTTGCAGCCAGCAAAGGAGCGTTTACTCACCACACATGAGGCGGCACACAAGACTGCCGGCAACTACCAATGCCATTCGCAGTCCCGGCACTGCAGATCGACAAGTCTCCTGCCGGCGAGGGCAGGACACTTGTCGTCAGAATATGACGACAAGTTTCCTGTCATATTGTGTCATATGACATGCACATATGTCATATTCTGTCATATGTGCACCAGCATACTCGTGCATGAACACAGGACGGTGCAAAGTGCACAAAGGTGATAATAAGCATGCCGAACGCCAGGACTGCAGTCGAAAAGGCTTTGGTCCAATGTCATCCACATTCTATGTGTCTAATTCCTGACGAAATAACCTTTCTAGTTTCGGAAAAGTTATTTTCAATTCATTCAACATCAGCAGCCTGCAGAGTGCACTTGATCAGCATGCACATCGGCTAATACCAGGCATATGCCGTGAGCCGAGCGGGCAAACGTTCCTGATCCACTATCTGACGGCATCGCTCGGTGTTGTTATTGTGGTTCGTTCAATTACGACACATCACAGGCAGTGCAATAAATCTACGCCGTAGCAGTGGTCTACAGTTGCTATATAAAGGGTACGATTCGGAGTCAAATATCATCAGTCAGGCAGGGAAAGCGCTGAGCTATACGCACTGATCTGTCGGGTCAGTTGTCGGGGAATATAAGGTAAGAATAAGAGCTTTTGTTTTTAGCAACTACTTGCCATCAGATGATCATATGTTCACATGTCATTGAAGACACGCAATATTTACAAAATCACACATTTGACGTCAAGCTGCTTCAAAACCTTAACAAAATATTGCAGCATGCAAATTTTAACATGCCGTAGTATCAACTGCCAACCAAAGTCCAGTTCCCGAGATCAGGCTGTATGTAGAGAACTTGGCTACTTTTCTGCACGCCTGTGCATAAATGATAGTAGGAACTCATTATCCCGAGGCCCGTGATTCCAAGGCGCACCACGACCTCTTGTGTATACTCACCACCTATACCCATAAACAAACCAACTTCCCATGAGATCGTCTCAATTCTAATCAGTTGGTGACGCCAGTGACCCTGCTCCGACAGCCATGCTGCGTGCTCTGGTGGTGCTGGTGGCGCTGGTGCTGGCGGTGGTGACCGTCGGCTGGGGAGACCCGAGCCCTGGACGCCGCCGAACCACCACCACCACCACGGCGGCCACGACCACCACCACACAGGACACGGCCGCCCAGTTCCGCGCTGCTGTCGACGCGTGGAGCGCCAGACAGCTGCGCCGACGTGGCTGAGCTGCACCGGCCTCACATGCCACGCAGGCAATCCTTGATTGGATTTGTACGTCTTATGCTTATGATAAATGAAAGAAGGGTTCTTAGGTATTGTTCGTCCTGCCTATGCATTACCAAAAGCATATGTACTGAATTCGTAAAAGAATAAACGGAATCTCAGGAACAGGCCATTAGGTATATGTGTTTTGAAAGGAAAATTTGAAAAATGTACATCATAAATGTCACACATATTTCCTTCGCAACTGAACTACAATTGGCAATAAAATTAGCTGTCAAGTTAACCCGTACCGGTGGTCTGAACTTTCCGCCGAGTGTTGGGGGGGGGGGGGGGGGCTAGCTCGGCTCCTGGGCCAAAAAACATTAACCAATAATAGGTACCTGATCAGCATCAAAACATTTCAAAACATCTTGTTAATCAGTACGCATTACGTTCGAAAAAAGTGAGAAGTTTGTGGTCAACTTTGAGCATGACCTTGACCTTGACCTTTGATTTTGAGCACATCTTCGGAATTACTGATTCTCGTCTTTCGTTTTACACCCATTGTAGCCGGTTTTGTGCATGCTGCTGTGCTCTAGAACGCTTATTTTGAGATCACTACACATTTGCCGGTTTTTGCCTTTGACCTTGACCTCTGACCTTGAAAATCGATCTGAGGTTAACAGTTTTAAGTGTGTTTGAATCGTCTCGTAGAGGCATCTTGTTTGGTACCGCTTTCGTTTCCGTAGCTCCCTTATTTACTGAGTTAGACAGGAGGGGGAATCCGAACCACCGCAGCCCGGGGAGGGCTGCGGTGGTTCGGATTCCCCCTTCCCCCAGCCCGGCCGGGTTAACCACTACCTAAAAACTGACGGAGAGTTTATGTGTATAGCGCCGGAACTGCGACCGCAGGGTTCGGCAGCGAGGAGGGGGAGCCCGGGGAGGGGATGGAGGGCCGGCAGAGGGTCACTCGCTCCGACTGGGACGGTCCACGGTGGAAAATCCTCCCCTCCCGTCCCCTCCCTGCCACATCCCAGCCAGTGAGGTGACTCGAACACCTATATATGCCGCCGCAGGCCTGTCAGAGGGCACATATCACTCGCAGCGCCCTGTCGGTCACAGCACAGCATTCAGCTGCGCACTGTAACACCTTTTCCAAATACCCGTCACAGTCAGCGGTGAGTTCGATGCATCGCGCCATCGCGTTTTCTGAATACTTCTTTTAAAACTGTTACGTTGAGTTATTTCTATGTATGAATCGGTTATCAAATCAAATATCCCGTTTCGATTTTAAAAAAGACAATAGCTTTTCATGTAACAATGATCGATCAGCTACAAAGCACAATCTGTTTCTAATATCTTCAGCCCAAGCTTTATCTGGCAAGTCATCTACTGATGCCAGCCGTGTGTCCCTCCCATAACAGAGCACCACGACCTCCCTCCATCTCGACACCACGTGCTAGCCACTGACGGTACCGCCCCTCTCCACAGTCATGTTCCGTCGCGGCGTGCTGGTGCTGGTTCTTCTGGCGGCCGTGGCCGTCACCTGGGCCAGTCCGCAGTGGAGGAGTCACAGCCGCTTCCAGTCGTCACGTCCCAACTATGGCCGGGCGGCGGTCAACGCGGCCACACAGGCGGCCGGCAGCCGGTACGGCCTGGGCGGCAGCTGGAGTCCCAAGGCGGGAGGCGTGCGCGTCTGGCAGTCCCGCAACGGCCGCGCCGGCCTCGGCCTGGGCATCAGCAGCGACGGCAGGCGCAACCACGGCGTCGGCCTCGGCTTCAAGCTCAAGTTCTGAGCGGCCACCAGTCGCCAGTCAGGGACGTGAAGACATCCAGGCTCAGGGAGGGAGAGGTAAACGTGCATCAACCGTGCGCTCTTGTAAGAAATTGACGATCCACGCATCGGATGTGATGTGTTTTGCATTATATTGTTACCACAATCATTGATGTGATGTAGGCAAGCTGACGACAATATACATACTACAACAGTGCATTGTTGTTCTATGCAGCCACTTCGGTATATATGTTACAGGGAGTATGAGAAATCAGTTAGTTTGCAAACTACCTAGGGAGTTTGCAAACTCCCTGAACGATCAGGTAGTTTGCAAACTCCCTAGGTAGTTTGCAAAGTACCTGGTCGAACAGGTAGTTTGCAAACTCCCTAGGTAGTTTGCAAAGTCCCTAGTTAGTTTGCAAACTCCCTAGGGTTGTTGCAAACTACCTAGGTAAAATGCGAAAACGACGAAACAACAGCCATATATGATTACATATGTAGATAAGACGCGATGAATTAGTTCAGAGCTCAGAATGAAGCTTGGCAGCAATGGTGCATAACGAGACGATGTGGTGTTTTGATGACGCTCTTTTGCAGCTCACTATTTATTTTTGTCTTGCTCGCAAATATCACCTTACAGATTAATGTCTTCCTTTTTCTTGTAGTCGACAACATGTTACGTTGCCATCCACCTCCTTTCCTTGGACGTCAGCGGCCTCTCCTCCACCGGTCTGGCGTCCATCAGAAAGCGGATGACGTCGCCATGTTCGGCGTCTTCCACGACTCGAGTTATTGCCGCTCAACGCTTCCTCTCACTCCCGGAACCTCTGATCGAACAGTTCGCGAGACATCCCCACAGAACCACAGAACAGAAATTGCGATCACTATGCTGCCTCTTCACACTCCGCTCAGCACTGATGACCCGCCTGCACTGAGCACCGTCCACCAGCCGTGACCCGACAGCGCCTTTCATCCGTATCCCGCAGGCACACACTGACCTGACCTGTCAAGTTAGGGCAGTCGACTGCTGGCTAACAGGATCGGGTGGAAGCGGGGCGTTGGGTTGACTAAAGATTACATCCTGATTTCTAACCCACGTCCCGTAGGGGGGGGGGGCAGAAACGGCCTCCCTGTCCTTTTCCGTCAATATCTCCTAAACGGCTGTAGCTATCACCACGAAACGTTCAGGACTTCTCCGGGCATCAATTCTACACATTGTGACAAAAAGTTTTCCAGAGGCCATGATGATAGGTTGGCCACAAATGACATCAGAATGACATAATGTTCTGCCATTTTGGACCGAAAAAAGAGCTTCCCGAGAAGAGCTGTCAGACCTACAGCTTTGAAGATACAGAAAAATGATCAGAAATAAAAGGTGTGAAATTGATAGGGTTACAAAACTGCCCTCTCGGATTTTGATTTCTGTTTTATTTTTGACCCCAAAAAATGAAAAATGAAGTTTGATATATTACCAAAAAATCAAAAAGTTTTTTGAGCTTAAAAAAACGGTAAATATATGATAGTAACTACCGTCTTCTATCTACATACCAAATTTCAGATGGATATCTCTTTTTTTGGCCAAGTTATAGCGAAAAACTGTTCAAAAATGATGACGTTAAATTTTCAAACTCAATTTTTGGCCATTCTAGACCACGTAGGGCAAAACAAAGAGCACCATTAGACTCACCGTGACGAGCTGCATCGAATCAATGCCCATTTTATGCAAAAATATTAACTTTGAAACTTCATCTAATTTGACCTGACCTTGACCTGACCTTTACCAGAACGTAACCTAAGCTGGCCCCAAATCCTGCCTGACCCACATGATCGCATTTATCATGTAAAATGGACCATAAAACAGGTATCACACGACACTTTCATGTTGTGACCCCAGTGACCTGACCTCTGCGCTGTGACCTGACCTGGTATCAGTGACCTCAGATAGCGAAGTAGCCAAAAATTGAGTTTGAAAATTTTACGTCATCATTTTTGAACAGTTTTTTCGCTAAAACTTGGCCAAAAAAGAGACATCCATCTGAAATTTGGTATGTAGATAGAAGGCGGTAGTTACTATCATATATTTACCGTTTTTTTAAAGGGACCCTCCCACCTTAACATTAGATTTGAGTTGAGATAGCCAAAATGGGTCCCTGGCTCACAATTACCGGTTTCGGCACTCACAACATCGAGAAACGCCCTAAATCGGAAATATTGAATTTAAAAATTGCAGCATTTTGATTCAGAGGGGCTAATGCTTAGGAATACCCCTCTGAATGTGTGACGTCAGCGCAGATATCTAACGATTTTTAAACGTTTGACTAAAACGTTTTGTAGCACGCGGTGGTATATGCTATTTGCGCGCAACATCTGCCGCCAACGCCGCACCTCTAAAATAAAGTCGCTAGAAACAGCGGAGATCCCAAAAAGGTAAACAAAAGTAAAAGTATAATATCTTGAAAACCGGTGAATATTTTTCGGTGAAATTTGGTAGATATTCGTTTTCGCTCTTTCTGAACCGAGCGACATCACTTTCATGCCAATTCATAAACTTTTTTGAAGGTGGGAGGGTCCCTTTAAACTAAAAAAAAACTTTTTTGATTTTTTGGTAATATATCCAACTTCATTTTTCATTTTTGGGCGTCAAAAATGAAACAGAAATCAAAATCCGAGAGGGCAGTTTTGTAACCCTATCAATTTCACACCTTTTATTTCTTGATCATTTTTCTGTATCTTCAAAGCTGTAGGTCTGACAGCTCTTCTCGCGAAGCTCTTTTTTCGGTCCAAAATGGCAGAACATTATGTCATTCTGATGTCATTTGTGGCCAACCTATCATCATGGCCTCTGGAAAACTTTTTGTCACAATGTGTAGAATTGATGCCCGGAGAAGTCCTGAACGTTTCGTGGTGATAGCTACAGCCGTTTAGGAGATATTGACGGAAAAGGACAGGGAGGCCGTTTCGGCCCCGCCCCCCCCCCTTACGGGGCGTGGGTTAGAAATCAGGATGTAATCTTTAGTCAACCCAACGCCCCGCTTCCACCCGATCCTGTTAGCCAGCAGTCGACTGCCCTAACTTGACAGGTCAGGTCAGTGTGTGCCTGCGGGATACGGATGAAAGGCGCTGTCGGGTCACGGCTGGTGGACGGTGCTCAGTGACGGTGCTCAGGTGCTCAGTGGGAGGAAGCGTTGAGCGGCAATAACTCGAGTCGTGGAAGACGTCGAACATGGCGACGTCATCCGCTTTCTGATGGACGCCAGACCGGTGGAGGAGAGGCCGCTGACGTCCAAGGAAAGGAGGTGGATGACAACGTAACATGTTGTCGACTACAGAAAAAAAGGCAGACATTAATCTGTAAGGTGATATTTGCGAGCAGGACAAAAATAAATAGTAAGCTGCGAAAGAGCGTCAATCACATCGTCTCGTTATGCACCATTGCTGCCAAGCTTCATTCTGAGCTCTGAACCAATTCATCGCGTCTTATCTACATAAGTAATCATAGATGGCTGTTGTTTCGTCGTTTTCGCATTTTACCTAGGTAGTTTGCAACAACCCTAGGGAGTTTGCAAACTAACTAGGGACTTTGCAAACTACCTAGGGAGTTTGCAAACTACCTGTTCGACCAGGTACTTTGCAAACTACCTAGGGAGTTTGCAAACTACCTGATCGTTCAGGGAGTTTGCAAACTCCCTAGGTAGTTTGCAAACTAACTGATTTCTCATACTCCCTGTAACATATATATCAGATGCCAGTGGCTAAATCGCCACCTTCTAAAATCTACATACATCTAATAGATTGTAGTTCAATATTTTCTACTGGAAGTATCGTACTTCGAAAGTATCACTATGGAAACCCTGGCTTTTGACGGCTGGCCGCCTGGCCGTCACGTGCCGTTTTCAAGGTAGGCATCACGGGCCGGCCAGGCGGCCCTCAAAAGTCAGGGGCTCTCAAACCGGGGAACGATAGCGATACTTTCGATACGCGATGCTTTCAAGAGAGACTTGCAGCTAGTAAATGAGCATTTACTCACCACACATGAGGCGGCACACAAGACTACCGGCAACTACCAATGCCATTCGCAGTCCCGGCGCTGCAGCTCGACAAGTCTCCTGCCGGCGAGGGCATGAGTCATATGACATGCACATATGTCATATTCTGTCATATGAGCACCAGCATACTCGCACATGAAACAGGACGGTGCAAAGTGCACAAAGGTGATAATTAGCATGCCAAACGCGAGTACCTACTGCAGTCGTAAAGGCTTTGGTCCGATGTCATCCACATTCTATGTGTCTAAATTGCTGACGAAATAACCTTTCTATGTAGTTTCGGAAAAGTTATTTTTAACTCATTCAACATCAGCAGCCTGCAGAGTGCACTTGATCAGCATGCACATCGGCAAATACCAGGCATATGCCGTGAGCCGAGCGGGCAAACGTTCCTGATTTACTATCTGACGACATCGCTCGGTGTTGTTATTGTTCGTTCAATTACGACACACCACAGGCAGTGCAATAAATCTACGCCGTAGCGGTCAGGGTAGCGGTGGTCTACAGTCGCTATATAAAGGTTACGATTCGGAGTCAAATATCATCAGTCAGGCAGGGAAAGCGCTGAGCTATATACGGACTGATCTGCCGGGTCAGTTGTCGGGGAATATAAGGTAAGAATAAGAGCTTTTTAGTAACGACTTGCCATCAGATGATCATATCTATTATGTTCACATGTCATTGAAGACACATAGCAGTTGCAAGATCATACATTTGACGCCAAGCTGCTTCAAAACAAGCAATTGCAACATGTAAATTTTAATATGCCGTCGTATCAACTGCCAGCCTAGTCCAGTTCCCGAGATCAGGCTGTAGATAGAGAACTCTGCTACTTTTCTGCACGCCTGTGCAGTAGGAACTCATTATCCCAAGGCCAGTGATTCCAAGGCGTCCACGACTTCTTGTGCATACTCAACTCATGAACAAACCATATCCCGACGCACCATATACCCATAAACAAACCAACTTCCCATGAGATCGTCTCAATTCTAATCAGTTGGTAACGCCAGTGACCCTGCTCCGACAGCCATGCTGCGTGCTCTGGTGGTGCTGGTGGCGCTGGTGCTGGCGGTGGTGACCGTCGGCTGGGGAGGCCCGAGCCCAGGACGCCGCCGAACCACCACCACCACCACGGCGGCCACGACCACCACCACACAGGACACGGCCGCCCAGTTCCGCGCTGCTGTCGACGCGTGGAGCGCCAGACAGCTGCGCCGACGCGGCTGAGCTGCACCGGCCTCACACGCCACGCAGGCAATCCTTGATTGGATTTGTACGTCTTATGCTGATGATAAATGAAAGAAGGGTTCCTAGGTATTGTTCGTCCTGCCTATGCATTACCAAAAGCATGTGTACTGAATTCGTAAAAAAAAAATAAACGGAACATCAGGAAGAGGCCGGTATGTGTTTTAAAAGGAAACTTTGAAAAATGTACGTCATAAATGCCACACATTTTCCTTCGCAACTGAACTACAATTGGCAATAAAATTAGCTGTCAAGTTAACCCGTACCGGTGGTCTGAACTTTCCGCCGAGTGCAGGGAGGGGGGGGGGGGCTAACTCGGCTCCTGGGCCAAAAAAAAAAACATTAACCACAAATAGGTACCTGATCAGCCTTAAAACATTTCAAAACATCTTGTAAATCAGTACGCATACGTTCGAAAAAAGTGAGAAGTTTATGGTCAACTTTGAGCATCACCTTGACCTTGACCTTTGATTCTGAGCACATCTTCGGAATTACTGGTTCTCGTCTTTCGTTTTACACCCATTGTAGCCGGTTTTGTGCATTCTGCTGTGCTCTAGAACGCTTATTTTGAGATCACTACACATTTGCCGGTTTTTGCCTTTGACTTTGACCTCTGACCTTGAAAATCGATCTGAGGTCAACAATTTTAAGTGCGTTTGAATCGTCTCGTAGAGGCCTCTTGTTAAGTACCGCTTTTGTTTCCGTAGTTCCCTTATTTACTGAGTTAGACAGGAGGGGGAATCCGAAGCACCGCAGCCCGGGGAGGGCTGCGGTGGTTGGGATCCCCCCCCCCCCCGGCCCGGCCGTGTTAAACACTACCTAAAAACTGAAGGAGAGCTTATGTGCATAGCGCCGGAACTGCGACCGCAGGGTTCGGCAGCGAGGAGGGGAGCCCGGGGAGGGGATGGAGGGCCGGCAGAGGGCCACTCGCTCCGACTGGGGCGGTCCACGGTGGAAAACCCTCCCCTCCCCTCCGTTTTCCGCCACATATTCAGCCAGTGCTGGTGACTCGGACACATATATATGCCGCCGCAGGCCTGTCAGAGGGCACATATCACTCACAGCGCCCTGTCGGTCACAGCACAGCATTCAGCTGCGCACTGTAGCACCTTCTCCAAATACCCGTCACAGTCAGAGGTGAGTTCCATTCATCGCGCCATCGCGTTTTTTGAATAGGTACCTCTTTTAAAACTGTTACGTTGAGTTATTTCTATGTATGAATCGGTTATCAAATCAAACATCCCGTTTCGATTTTAAAAAAGACAATAGCGTTTCATGTAACAATGATCGATCAGCCACAAAGCACAATCTGTTTCTAATATCTTCAGCCCCAGCTTTATCTGGCAAGTCATCTACTGATGCCAGCCGTGTGTCCCTCCCATAACAGAGCACCACGACCTCCCCCCCTCTCGGCACCACGTGCTAACCACTGACGGTACCGCCCCTCTCCGCAGCCATGTCCCGTCGCGGCGTTCTGGTGTTGGTGCTTCTGGCGGCCGTGGCCGTCACCTGGGCCAGTCCGCAGTGGAGGAGTCACAGCCGCTTCCAGTCGTCACGTCCCAACTATGGCCGGGCGGCGGTCAACGCGGCCACCCAGGCGGCCGGCAGCCGGTACGGCCTGGGCGGCAGCTGGAGTCCCAAGGCGGGAGGCGTGCGCGTCTGGCAGTCCCGCAACGGCCGCGCCGGCCTCGGCCTGGGCTTCAGTACCGACGGCAGGCGCAACCACGGCGTCGGCCTCGGCTTCAAGCTCAAGTTCTGAGCGGCCACCAGCCGCCAGTCAGGGACCTGCAGACATCCAGGCTCAGGGAGGGGAGGTAAACGTGCATCAACCGTGCGCTCTTGTAAGAAATCGACGGGATTGACGACCCACGCAGCACAGAGTTCTAGTTGTGGCGGTGATGTGTGCTGCATCCTATTGTTACCTGTTATCGCTCTGATGGAGGGAAAATGATAACAATAAACTTATACAATCGTGCATTGTTGTTCTATGCAGTCACTTTGAAATACGTGATGTGTGGCTGAAGCACTGTTTTCTGCTCATGCCCTGAAGTAGCAGCCATGGTGGAGGCGAGTACTTATCGTTCACAAGAAACTGTTCACGGACCGATGACCGACCTTCGAGAAATACATATAGATGGAAACCATAACGTATTGCTCAATGTGTTTTTCTTAACCGTCGTAAGTAGTGCTTGTCGTGTCATGGCTGGCATTCCACCATATCAACTGTCTCCCCGCGCCCCGCTGGGCGTCCTGGATTTCCACGTCCAGGTGTTTGAACACCCCCTTCTAACTCGTCCCCTAGGCCACGCAGCGATACGCGGAAAGCGGCGTTCGAAAGAGCGCCAAAATAATGACGAAATCACGTCCGTCACTTTTTAGGTCAGGTCAAAGGTCAGGTCACCACTGGTCATTAAAGGCAAGATTTCGCCGATTTTCAGGTCAAATTTTGACAATGTCCAAGAAGCCAACGCATAACTCGGGAACCAATAGAGCTACAGCGCCGCGGAAAGGCGCATTCGATAACCCTATTAACGCACTTTCTGGGTAATCCTCTCAGATTCGACCCAGCTTCAACGGTTTTGCCTGCAGGGCAAAACCGCCGAAAAAGCCGATTTTTTTTTGAAAGTTTCTACAATGACTTTTGGCTCAAGCCTTGCACGTGCTTACCTACATTTACCGGCATCGTGTTTATCTCTCAAGACGCATCGAATGAACTATAATTTGACCTTGAAAGGTCAACTTAAAAACTTAGCCTTATGTCAAGGTCATGACCTGACTGGAAAGGGTAATGCTGCATATCAGTCGATCCGTATCGTCGAGCTGAACACATCCAAGTCGTTTTCATCGCTCTAGCATGCCTCTATTAACCCTATTCCTGGCGGGCTCCGCCGGGACAAGAAACTGGCGGGGGGGGGCCGATTCGGCCCCCCCCGAGATCTCGAGAACGAAGCATGATAGCGACAAACGGTAAACGGCATCGGATACGCACGGTCAAGATCTACAATTTTTACGAAGGTCATTTTCAGGTCAGGTCAAAGATGACGTCACAGGGGTCGAAAAAGTCAAAATGGCGGCGCTAGATATGGAGAGAGTTTTTCTCGAATAACTTTCGAATTAGTCAAGATAGGAACAAACTAAGGGCATCATCGTGATCCTCTCGTCAATCCGCATCGAATGATATATATGTTGACCTCGCAAGGTCAAGGTCAAAGGTTGACCTCAGGTCACGTGACCTCGAGGTCATCATGCATATCATTCGATGCGTCTTGACGAGCTGAACACAATGAGACCATCCACGCGTCTGTATCTTGTTCCTGTACGGAGTTATTGGCCAAAAACCTTTGGTGACCTTTGATGACGTCACATGACCTCACAGCTGCCCAACAGCAAAACAGACCTCAAGGTAGTGAAGGTTGATCGTATATGAAGTCATGTATGGTATATGGGGCCATTCCGACCCGTTTTAGTGGTAAAAACAGGGAGTTGATTTTTCCCCCATTGACTTATAATGGGGAGGTCGCGAAACTGACCTGACCTTAGGTCACCGATATCAAAATTCCAAGATATACAAATTGCACATACTGGTACCCTAACTAAAGCCTGAAGAGAAGAAATTGATCGGTAAAAAAACTCTAGCTCTGGCGTGATTGCAAACTTTTCTGAGGTATGGTCACCAAACCGCCTCTGGTGACCTGACCTGAGGTCAGATCAACTCAAAATTTTCAGACATGTTGCGTAGAAACCTTTTAGGAAAAGTCAGAAAATTTGAGCTTCCTAGCTCAACGCGTTTGGGAGAAATAACCAAAAAACCTCAGGGGGGGGGGGGCTCCTGAGCCCCCCCCCCCCGCCAGGAATAGGGTTAAAAGTTATTCGCGAGAAAACTGTAGGATACCATTCGTGACCTGAGATGACCTGAGGGGCATAAACAGGGGTCACGGATACCATTTTCATGTTCAGTGTGTCTTAGTCACCTGTAATTCCGTGTTTAAGAGTGTTTATAATGGCCTTCGTCCAAAAGAGGCGCCTTTCAATTTTCTTCCATAAACTTATACCTGATGGGGAGGTCGCAAAAATGATCTGACCATAGGTCATTGATATTAAAATTCTGAGATTGAAATTTTGTACATACTATTGCTCTCAGCCATCGCTGAAAGTTTCAAAGCGATCGGTCACTCGGTGTAGCTATGGCAGACATTGAAAGTTTTATGAGGTGAGGTCACTTCAAGTGACCTCGTGACCTGACCTTGAGCGATCTTGGTCTGAAATTTTGACAACATGTGTAGAATTGATGTATGATAAGGTGTGCCAAAAACAGTGGCGCTCCGCGCCGCCGTTTTTGAAACATGTGCTTAAAACCACAGGGGGTGCTCAACCCCCCCCCCCCCGGGCAGGGCGCGGGTTAACCCTCGCCCGCACATGCCATTTTCCCATCCCAGAACGCACATGGGGGGGGGGGGTTGCCACCCCCCCCCCCGCGCCATTTCGTTCCTGTTGGAGATAGAGCTTCGCGGTAAAGACCAAAAAGATTCTTTGGGAAGAGACGAATCCAATGATACCCAGTTTTACCTTCTCAAGTCAGTTATTGACCTTCCAGGTCAGGTCAAACTAAAAAATGTTGCTGTTTTGGGTCACCGTTGGATATCAAGTGCGCTGCTTAGCATATACCGATGACGATGCCGTTTTCTGGTGCCAAGTCAGCTAGAACCTCTTTGTTCCACTACCCGACCAGGTTTTTGCTGCTGAGGTCATTTCAGGTCAAGTTTGGTCAAGGTCAATGATATGTGTTTGTATGTCTGTGTGTGTCTGTGTGTATACTAATGTGTGCACCGATCGTTTATGTGTCCATATTACATGAAATCATGATCTGAGAAGCTTTTACCAAAAATACAGTAAAAAAAAATCACAAAAAGTAAATTCAGCTTGCCTAAAACGCAATTATTTTAGATGAACTAGGTTGACCTTGACCCTGACCTTGACATCTGTACATCATCGAACAGCATGTTCCATGATAGGTGGGAGGTAAGATTGGCAAAAAAGGGCGAAATCAAGGTGTCAAAAGCTCACAAGGCCCATAGCCAACGCAAGATGTTGAAAATTGGTCATTTGGATCATATGACCTGAAAAACAAGGTCATATCTCCGAAACCAAAAACCACAGAAACTTGAAATTTTCAGTGGACAGTATGAAAGGATAGAGGAGCAGCTATACGAGAAATCAGGCTTCTAGCTCTAAAAATGTTGAGTGCAGAGTGCAGAAAAACTACTTGGGGGGTGGCACCCCCCCCCCCCCCCCTATGTGCGGGCGAGGGTTAAAAGGAACCAGATGCACTGATTCCAGCCATTTTACTATATAACTAAAGCAAGATATGAGGGAAACACCCTTCTTCGTTGCTGGGTTAGGGCTTGGCTGAAGAAATATTTGCAGTACGATACCTACCATTCAATGTTAACCCTCCCTTCGCCGCCACAAGGGGGGGGGGGGTGTTAACGCACCCCCCCTAAGAGTTTTCGCCAATAACTCGCTTAAAAAACGGCCGATCGGGACGAAACTTTCAGTACCCTCGCGCTGATCAAATTTACACCTACCCTGAAAATGTCATGACCCCGGCCCAAATGAACTTTGATTTGTGACCTACTTTTTGAGAGCATGTTTGGCCGGAATCGCGATTCGGCGTTTGTTGGCTCGCATTAGCCGCGCGTTTGCAGTCTTTTCGTGGTTTCAAGCGTTCAAACATTGATGCTGCTCCCATGTATTAGGGTGAATGTCAAGGTCACCTGGAGGTCAGGTCACGTCATTGACCTTTGATGACTTCGGCTCACTTTTCGAGTTTCACATGTTCCTACGCGAGTTTTTGGAGCTAAATTTGAATTTAGCAGCCATTTGAACATTTATGAAGTAGTTTTGGTGCTTTGTAGCATGTTACGAAGCTGTCAGATGCGGTTGACACGTATGTACTACGAATACCCGGCACGACCCCTACTGGTTGACCTGACCTGACCTGACCCGACCTGGCCTAAATGCATGAAGACATCATCTGTGATTAAAACTAACATGATATTCGTGATCAGCACCCCGAAACCCCCAATAGAAGCAACACTTTACGACGTTCTAACAAGTCCCGATGTCCCCGACTTCTGGGTCATTGACTTGACCTGGAAGGTCAACCGATGACCTACGACCTTAAGATTTGGTATCATCGGCTTCCTCTTGTCACGTGCAGAACGCTTATTTTTTTCCGCGAAGCTCTAGCTTGATGAGGGGTCAAACACGAGGGGGCTTCGTACCCCCTCCCCCCTTGTGCCGTTGAAGGACGCAAAATGGCCCGTGTGCCGGCGGGTAAAATAATTGGCCATTTTCCAGCCACTCCTGCCAACTGTGTGTCTGAATCGATATACAACCACCTATTGATGGATTGCTGTTAGCTGATCACTTCTCGACAGGTAAACGCTCGAAGTAACTCAGGTAAACGATCACTACTCGAAGTGTTAGTTACTAAGCAGGCATCATATGCAACAGCATCAGATAACCTACTGACCAAGTCTGCTGCTGTGCCAGTGGGCATATCCACTGGCACGTTTTGTAAGCTTCTACGTGTCTGCTAGGTGGACATCACCGCGGAAAACCCGGCCGGCGTCGCAGTTCAGCCCCGTTTACAGTGCGCCCCATGTCGTTGCACGGCAGTGCTGCGCCACACCGCTGACACCCCCGCCACCCCTGGCTGTCCCTTCTCCCCACCCCACCCTTCCCGAGCCTTGCTGCATGAGACAGACACGTCACAGCTACCAGCCGAGCAGTGAGCACCCGGAACGTATATATTGCATGCCACTTGCTGAGGAGCGGACAGAGTTCTTACGATCTATCCACGGGGAGAGTCGCTTGTGACTGAATCTCGTGGCCACTTCGATAACAGGTGAGGTTATATTGCTATTCGCTCTGGCTGAGCGTTGTGACTGTTCTGGTGACCGAAAGTTCACGTAACTGGGCACTTTTCTGGTGACCTTTCGGGTATGCCGACTGATGAACTGCTGACATACAAACACAGCGTGCAAGTATCGCATTGATAGCAATGGGCGGGGAGCCGAAGAGGGAAAATAGCCCACCATACCCTGTATAAATGGAAGCAAAATTAACCTTTAAAAATGAACTATAAGTAACGTATGTAATGTGCATGATGTTTTAATCGCGTAAGAAAACATCCACATGTAACCTGGCACAAAACGTTTATGTCAGTATTTAAGTGCGTTTGGTATGTTGTTGACAAACTCGTCTGTTCTTTCAGCCATGCTGCGCTGTCTGTGGGTGTTGGTCCTGCTAGCGGCACTGTCGGTGACCTGCGCCAGCCCATCCTGGAGGTCTCGGCCCAGCGGCATTGGGGAGTCACTGCGGATCGCCCAGGACTTTCACAACGCCAGACGGTGGCAGAGCAGGTACCGGCGCACGACCACGCCGCGCTGGGGCTGGAGGACGCCAACGCCCACCCAGGACATCCAGTCACAATTCCGGGACGCCGTGGCCACCTGGAGGAACAACCAGCTGCGCATGATGGGCTGAGGGGGCGAAACCGGCGAGTCGCACTCGAGCCTCAGTTTCTCCCTGCCAAGTGCCAACGCAGGACATGAACTAAATCTTAGCTGATGTGATGCTATTTCCCTCTTATTGGTACTGCTATTATCACCTTCAACTTGCAATGTCAGCCATAGCATGGGCGTTCGTCTCACGGCGTTCCAACCGTCGACTGTGCTGTTACTGGAGTTACCTACATAAGATTTAGGGTTTACGTACACTTGCTATATCAGCTTGTGTTACTTGTGATATGGATGTAAGTAGAAGCCAGTGTCCATTGCATGGTTGACCGAATATATTTTTTTAATGACGCTTTAGTTACATTTAACCGAGAGATACGCAAGATAAGCTTTTACGGGAATCGCTGCCACGGTCATAAATGAAGATAAAACGATTGAATTTCATGATGAGCACGACTCAAAATGAAAGTCTGCAATCTTGCTTTTTGTCACCTCATTGAAAAACACATTTAGGTAAAACGTAAGCCATGTGTTTCACATTTTGAGCTGGTCCCCCGCAAAAATCAAATGATAGTATGGTGAAAAAAGCTTTATATCAGGATGAATTATCGTCTAATTTTGCAGTCCAATAGAGCACGAGTAAAATCTATGGTACAGTCATAGAGTACAGAAGGCTTACGGCGGGGACTTATTTTGCAAAACTACTGCATATCACACAGTACCAATTTGTAGATGCATAGTTGGTGGATAGCACGTACTATGAGGTTCTCGCCGGAGCTGCTTGGTTTTCTACATACGCGCCAGCCGAGGGGAGGGGCGGAAACGACCCCCTCGCTATTTCGCCCCTGATGGAGCTAGAGCGTCGTGAAAGAAACGAACGTATGCGTCGTTACAAGACGCAACAATTGGTACCTGATTTTTAAGCTTCAGGTCAACCGGTGACCTCTATGGTCAGGTAAAGTGGCCCAAGGTGCAGATTCGGTTTTTGGCAAATAACTTCGCAAAAAATGGCCGCAAAGCCACAATTTTGACTGCGCCGTGTTTGCCTTTCCCAGACACGTCGAATGACATATTTTTGTTTGGGTGAGGTCATTTTGATGTATTGACCTCAGTCAATACATCGTTGTCAATTTGGTCGGTTTGGTCAATCGTTGTCATTTTTGCACGTGCTATTTTTGTCACACGTACCAAAAATGGCAACGATTCTGCTATTTTTGACAACGATGAAGCCAATTTCACTCCTTAGCGAGGAAATCACGATTTTGGAAAGATAAACACTGATTTTCGAAAAGAAGTCCTGCCATTTCATTTGGTGCAAGAAGAAGAAGCCAGCTTTAATATGCCCGTTGTTTGTATGATAGGTCGTTCAATAAGTAAGGTAAAATGTGCAATAGCTCATTAACCTTAACAAGTTAAACAAAATAAAATATGTCATCTGAATCTACAAAAAAAAAATTGCTACACAACGTATCCAACCGTTTTAAGGAGTTTGAAAAATTGTCCGAACACGGTCGGTATGAAAACATCGATGCAGCACCGTTCCGTTTGGGAAGTGCCGTTTTGTCAGGTGAGCCTCAAATTCATCTCAAAACCGGCGTCGGCAGCAAATTGTACCCTGATGACGCCATATGGCCATTAACAATGCTTAGTGGTGGGCAGTGGATAGTGATAGGGCAGTGTAAGAGACAAAATTCTACGGCAGGCAGACCTATGCTTGCAGGACCCGCTGGATCTGGCACAATCCGTGAAGTCGCGAGGTGATGATGGAGACCCAAAGCATTCGCGTGACTGACTTCATTTTCGGAGTGAAGTGTTATGTCGAATCAGCTACAGGCGTCATCAGATACGCTAAATATTTTCAAGGTCTGCCTGAGATGGATACCAAAAGAGTTTACTCAACAACAGAAGGACGCCCGACTAGGCATCAGTGCAGGAGCGGCTTTGCTCTGTCAGTACAGGAATGCTGGAGTACAGCCCTGATCTGGCGCCGTCCAGCTTCAATCTGTTCGGATCGCCGGAAGACGTTCTGCTTCTGGGAATAACTTTTTTACGGATGAGGCAATCAGGAAAATAAAAAGACATGTTAAAAAAACATCAATAAGGAGTTTTCCGAGCGGGTTTTCAGTGCTCAGTGGAGTGCTGAGATAAGCACGTGCGCCTGAACGGTGATTGGAAGTAGGTGCGAGTTCTGAAGGCTGGGGTGGCTGACCGATGGGACCTGCTACCAAATGCTTATAGCCATTTTGAAGACAAGATTTCAGTTAACATATGTTGCAAGTTTCATGTCGTTACACCAAAGGTGGACTGAAATAAATGCGATTTTACCTTACTTATTGAACGACCTAGTAGTTTGTTTTGTGGCCTGAAGTTGGAACTTAAAATTGAAGCATCCGGAAATGATCGATATTGATCGAAAACGTGACGTTGATGAAAAAATAATATGCTAAGTTGAGGAAGGAGGTCATTTTATCCAGATGCGGTGGTTTACTTCTTGATATTATTTTTGCTAATTGACGGCCCCGCTCATCCGTCACTGCATGGCGGTCGTCATAAACAAAAATAATTTCAAGAAGTAACATCTGGATGAAATTGCCTCCTCTTTCAACTTAACTTATTCTTGTTTCATCAAAATTATGTTTTCGATCAATATTGATATCAATATTGATCATTTTCGGAATCTGCAAATTGAAGTTCCAGCTTCAGGCCACAAAAAGGGTATACGTCAACGTTGGACTACCATACAAACAACGGCCATATTAAAGCTGGTTTATTCTTCTTGCACCAGGTGGCAGCACTTCTTTTCCAAAATCAGTGCTTGCCCTAGTAAAAAAATATTACAGGGTAATCCTGTATGGTTGATCCTACAGGATTTTTGACGAAATTGTTACCAGGGTTCCTGCAGGGTGCCCTGTACGGTGCCGTACAGGGCACCATGCACGGCGCCGAACAGGGTACCGTGTAGGGTGTAGTACATGATGTTGTACAGGGTACCATGCACGGTGCCGTACAGGGCATCATGCACGGTGCCGTACAGGGCACCATGCACGGTGCCGTACAGGGCACCATGCACGGCGCCGTACAGGGTACCGTGTACGGTGTCGTACATGATATTCTATAGGGTATCATGCACGGTGCCGTACATATCAGTCGAGGTTGATTCGCTATACCATGCACGGTGCCGTACAGGGCACCATGCACGGTGCCGTACAGGGCACCATGCACGGCGCCGTACAGGGCACCATTCACGGCGTCGTACAGGGTACCGTGTACGGTGTCGTACATGATATTGTGTAGGGTATCATGCACGCTGTCGTGCAGGGTATCGTACACGGTGTCGGGTGTCGTACATGGTATCGTACACGGTGCCGTGCAGGGTATCGTACACGGTGTCGTACAGGGTATCGTACAAGGTGTCGTACATGGTATCGTATAGGGTACCTACCATGAACGGTGTCGTACACGTTGTCTTGCAGGATTTCGTACAGGACACCACACTCGCCATTCTACAAGCAGTCGTGTTCTTGTAAGTGTTGAGCCGCTGTTAAAGCCCGTATGAACCGCTCACGAATAAAAACAGCCATCTACTCATCTCGCATGTATTAACATTTTCAAACGGGCGTTGAGCACAGGGTTCCATTCCAGCTGGAGGGGGAGGGACGAAGGTAGGGCTCCCGGACACTACGTCCTTACTGGCCCTGCTCGGCCCTCTTCTTGGCCTTCAGGGCCGCGCTATTCTCGTCGTTTATTTTTCTGCTGATGACGTCCTTTACTTCGGACTCGGGCATCTTAAGCCGGTTGACCAAGAACGCTAAAAAAGAAAAAACATCGATACAGTATTCAGTTTTGTTCACTCACTGGTCACTAACTATTCACATTTAATGAATAAAATAAAGATCATTTCCATTTTTTTATTCTATTCATTATTAGCTATTTATCATTTACATATTTCTCTATTATATTTATATTGCATTTATGAGCAATGTTAATTTGCTAATAATTATAATCTTTGAATAAGCGGGTATCCGCGTTATTGTGAAAACAAGTATTTTTGTTCTAAACTTTCTGATACTAAAAATGGCATGAATATCAATTACATTAATTAAACATAGTTGTAAAATTAAGAACTATTGTTCTCCTGATTCACAGAGTCCTTATTGGATCATACTATCATACCGACCGATCACCAGGTATGGCTGGCTGATGAACAGCAAGGTTAAACATCACTTACTGATAATATCACGAAGCTTCCCTTGATCAAGGACCGGCCTCGTCGGGTGCTCAAGCCCCTTGTTCTTGTTAAGGGGACATGCTTGTCCCCTCATAGAGGAGCTGCCCAGCACCTCTTTTCCGAATACGGCCATCATCATGTCGCGAATGGCCTTCTTCTTGTCATCAAAGTTGATGAGGCAAAAGGCCGCAGATGTGATGGCCGTGAAGGGCCCGATGGTGACCTGGCAGGACATTGACAAGTCACAACACAGGTATTCCGAATCAGTGCTGCCAATAACATACATTCCTTAAAAAATGGTCGGTGGTACATACACTTACTAACTTTCAACCAACCACTTGAAGGCTGGGACCTAATTTATTCTGCCCTATAGCCACCGTATAACGCCAATACGGGAGAGGGATCAAAACGGATAAATTAAAAATTTAGACATGTTGTTATGTCTAAATATGTGTTATGGTGTTGAAAAAGGTGTTATGTCAGTTATGTCTGCTTGTCTGATGGAACAGGCAGTAAGCATCGATTCTCCACCGTGCAAAATATGTATTAACAAGCGTTACAAATAAAGCCAACAACAAACGGATTTTTAGACACATCGTCGGTTTTCACCGTTTATTATCCATGTCAGGCGACATGCTGTCCGAAATTGTAATTCATTAATGTTAGTCCGGCTCCTCTTAGTACGCCGTTGTCTAATACATGCTGGGTGCTGCTCTTCCAACTCCCAATCATCCCGCCAAACTCTGCAGAAGTCGATTTCTCCATTCTGCGGCCAGTTTTTCCCTCAAAATAGTCCTGGCATCCTTAGGGACTGTTTTTGTCCCCCAGCGTGGCCTGTTGACCTGACGAAGTATTTGCTGCAATCTCTTTGCGCGTTCATATTTGGCTGCGAGCTGAAATAGGTCGTAGGTACGACTGGTCTGAGGGCTCCACGGTCCTGGTCTGGCGCAGGTCACCGACAGCGCCGCTAGCAGGACCAACACCCACAGACAGCGCAGCATGGCTGAAAGAACAGACGGATATGACGTCATAATGTGGACACAACCACCCACAGACAGCGCAGCATGGCTGAAAGAACAGACGGGTATGACGTCATAATGTGAACACAGCCACCCACAGACAGCGCAGCATAGCTGAAAGAACAGACGGATATGACGTCATAATATGAACACGGCCATCCGGAGCGCGGAGCGAGCTTGATGCAGCCATCCTTCTTTTCCGTCTGACTACACTGGCCGACTTATTGTTGGAAACTAGCAAATTTTCTGGACACTATTTTCCGTAAAACCCAATAACAAACGACCCATTACCCATAACAATAACATGGAAAATAATTGTCATGTGGCCTCCCAATCGAACTTGATACGAGTCTTTCCACAGAGAACACAATTCTGACGAAGTGTTTTCTAATTTCAAAACGGCTTACGTTATTCGCTGGCTTTCTATAAGTGCTCACCTGTCTTATAAACCGATAAGGTGAGAACTGCAGGTAAGTTGTCCCTGCAAGAATGCTCAGTACACTGCTGCCTCCTCGTTGACTCGCCGCTCTGTTGAGGCGGACCAGGTGGGCGGCGTTTTTGTGTGACATATACCTGCCCTTTATTGACAAGCTCGGGGGTGAGGGTTGGCTGAAAGGTCACTGGCAACAGATAGGGGTCGGACGGCGCGGTGGCCGGAGTGATGACGAAACACATGTGCTCAAGCCAGCGAATCACTGGCTCCTGTTAACGATAGGACTGAGCCAGAGACAATGCACGACTGCAACGAAAACAGCAAAATATAAGTGGAACAAAAAGGCGCTTATATGAAGAAGCAAGCGTGTGTTCACGTAATCAAGTCCGAAAAAGATGAGCCAACTTTCAAGTGAAGAGCTGTATAGTCAGGATGCAATTGGACTTCAGTTATAGAGAAACCGTGGCAAAACGCTTAGGTAAACGTTAAATGATTGCTCGTCACAGCCAGCCTTCAAAATTAGACTGATCTTGTCGACACATATACGTACTACTCACCAAGGTCACTTTAATAAATAAATAAAAACGGATGTATACGGTGCCCGATAAAGCTTGTAATTATATGGATATTTTTTCGTTGAAAACGGGTAAAACATAAAAACAAAATATTTAGTAAACACTGCTTATGTTAGGCGTATAATAAGATCACTCCTCTCTCCCTCTTCCTCCCTCTCCCTCCCTCTCTCCCTGTGGCCCATTCCCGCGTGACTGTGGACGTCACACGGGCCGCCGTAGCGTGCAGTCTGTCCGGGTGACGCGCACGTGACGCGCCGCGTGTCGGGTCAGCGGGACACGGGCCGGCAGTGACCCTGCAGGCCAAAGCGTGCCCCGCTGGCGTGCCGAAGTCGTGAGCCACTGTTTGGTTTCTATGATGTCCTTTCCCACAATGATTGCAGGTTTGGCCAGCATCAGAAAAGAGCTACCACTAGCACGCGAGCTGGTTGCTCTCAATACGCTTGGTTAGCTCGGTTGACCTTCGGAAATTTGTCCCTCGCACGTTGTGGTGGCCCTCGCACGTGAGGACACGTGAAAGCCGGGGGCGGGGCGGCGCCGTTTGCTGCTGGCGCGTGGTGTCGGTTAGGGGGGGGGGGGGCACTATTCACCAGCGGGACATGTTACCTACAGCGGCGTGCTGCGGGTCGCGGCGGGGCGGGGCGGGGCGGGGTGAGTTCGGAGTGGTGCCGGCCCCGCCCCGCACATCCGGCCGGCCGGGACGCCGTGCGCCCATTACTGCAGAGGGGACCGGGGACGGGCCGTCACCGGCAGCCGGCAGTGGGACAGGTGTGCCGGCGGGGACCGGGCGGCCGGAGCGCCGGCTCCGACAGCGTGCAGTGAGAGGGCGCAGGGAGACGAGCCAGTGACCCAGTGATGGTCCCCGCGCCACCGAGACGCCCATGAGCGGCCGACGGTGGTCCCTGGCCGCCGCGCTGGCGGTCTCTGCCTGGGCAGTCGTCTCCGGACAAGGGTTTGACACGCCCGTCATCAACATCCGACAGGGCGGGCTCCGAGGGGTGAGTACAGAACTGCTCCGGAGACCCAACTGAAACCTCACAATTTACAATATCTAAACGGACTGCTTGAGGTAGTGTTGGAAGAGGGAATCATGTGATCATGTATCCTTTCTGGCATAACAGAGTTTCTTACGGCATAACAGAGTTAAGTTGAACTTCCAGAGTTCGTTGAAGTTCGACGCAGTTCTGTGTTCACAGTTCACTCTCCACACTACATTGAATGTTACAAGCACACATCACGCATAGGTAGTATAGCGGCTCACATTGATTAACCCTCGCCCGCACATGCCATTTTCCCATCCTAGAACGCACATGGGGGGGGGGGTGGTTGCCACACCCCCCCCGCGCCATTTCGTTCCTGTTGGAGATAGAGCTTAGCAGTAAAGACCAAAAAGATTCTTTGGGAAGAGACAAATCCAATGATACCCAGTTTTACCTTCTCAGGTCAGTCATTGACCTTCCAGGTCAGGTCAAACTAAAAAATGTTGCTGTTTTGGGTCACCGTTGGATATCAAGTGCGCTGCTTATCAAATACCGATGACGATGCTGTTTTCTGGTGCCAAGCCAGCTAGAACCTCTTTGTCACACTATCCGACCAGAATTTTGCTGCTGAGGTCATTTCAGGTCAAGTTAGGTCAAGGTCAATTATATGTGTTTGTATGTCTGTGTGTGTCTGTGTGTATACTGATGTGTGCACCGATTGTTTTTGGGTCCATATCACATGAAATCATGATCTGAGAAGCTTTTACCAAAAATGCAGTCAAAAAACTTCACAAAAAGTAAATTCAGCTTGCCTAAAACGCAATTATCTTAGATGACCTAGGTTGACCTTGACCCTGACCTTGACCCCTGTACATCGTCGAACAACATGTTCCATGATAGGTGGGAGGTAAGACTGGCAAAAAAGGCCGAAATCAGGGTGTCCAAAGCTCACAAGGCCCATGGCAAACGCAATATGTTGAGAATTGGCCATTTGGGTCATGACATGACCTGAAAAGCAAGGTCATATCTCCGAAACCAAAAATCACAGAAACTTGAAATTTTCAGTGGACATCAAGAAAGGATAGACGAGCAGCTATACGAAAAATCAGCCTTCTAGCTCTAAAAATGTTGAGTGCAGAGCAGAAAGACTGCCTGGGGGGGGGGTGGCAACCACCCCCCCCCCCCCATGTGCGGGCGAGGGTTAAACTGCGCCGAACTGGTCGTGACCTTGACTTGGTTATGATGGGTCACTCGGTTTATGGTGGGTCTGACTGATCCCCGTAACATGTGTCGTGCGACCTGGATGTGAGATTGATTTGGTTGTAAGCTTGGGTACGTCACCGTTGGCTGAACTCCGAGAGTCGGCTGACGGCTCTTCTGTTAATAAGTCAAACGTAATTGGCTATGACCACAAGGGCTTCTCTCCGTCTCGGCTTCAACTTGCATAGCCAGTCGTTGGATCGGTGCTCGTTGCGGAAAAGTCCACGCCAAAGTCAAATGCACCGAGTCCAAACTGCATTGAAGCATCATAACACAACACACACTGCACAACTGTTGTTGCACAAATTGCCATAACACCGACTGACGCTTCGGTGCGCACTATAAACACCACTTCACGTCACAGCTCTCGCAAAATACTAAGGTCACCACCGATCATGTTGTTCACCAAATACGCCATCGCTATG